TGACACTTTTCTGACATATATTTTAATTCATCTACAAATTGTCTTTCATTTTTAATATCATTTATTACCTCTTATTCTAACTTATTTTCTATCTATTTACTAACATAATAATCAACTCAATCATAAATTTTATAATAACTATTCCAACCATTGATTTTGCCACTTTGCCTTTTACATAACGATTTAAATTTAAATTTTACTTTTATCCCATTAATCTGGTTTCATCTCAATATATATATTAAAATTGTTTATCACGTATTAAAAACAATGTTTAATAAATTTAAATATTGATCATTTCTTTGATCACTGTCCTCTGCTAAAGATGGCGTACCATGTTCAGGTATTGAAATAAATTGTTCCCTTTTATTTATACTGATATGTATGCAAAACAGGGTTCTGATAAGTATTAGCACAGAACCACTTTTTTGACATACTGATTTTTCGCAAAGTTTTACGCGATATAGTCATTTTTGCATTAACTTGTGTATAAATCATTGAAGAGTCCCTTCTCCCCTTCTAATACTAAGTGCAACAGGTACTGATATTTTGTAAGTTTCCAATCACACAAACACTTAGCACACTTTTTCACATTTTTTTTTAAATATTGGACTAATGGTCAGATCAGCTAAGTTGTAGATGACATTTTTCTTTAACTATTATGAATTGAAGTTATATTATTGTTTTATATCACGTCTGGGTAACAACTCTGGGTAAGCTAACAGACAAAGATGAGTTATGTTACAAGTTATAGCTTTTTTAATTGTCTCTTGACAATCGTTAGTTATGATTGAAATCTACAACAAGACATAAATTGATGAAATTATGACACGTTTCATATTTTTCAGCATATACAGTGTGATAATTTAAATTACTCTTGATGTCCCAGATATGTGTTAACATTTTAATCATGTATTTAACTTATCAGTAGCAACAACCGTCTCTAAATTCTTAGTTGAGGTAATATTGAACAATAATAGTTATCATTGATTAATTAGTTAGTTCATGATTAATAAATTTTAATTACATATTACATTTTTCTTTAATTTCTAGGTAGCTCGTTGGCATTGTTTTAATGGATACAAAATATCTGACGAAAGAGAGACTTAGAAAAAAATTGTTAGATGAAATTGGTTGCTTTTGGTGAGATATGTCTTCTAAAAAACACAGAATGGAAATCTGCACAATAATAAATAAAAAACTATACTGCCATTTAAAAAAAGTTTACTATCACTTAGTATATCAATTGAAAATATTTTGCTTAAAATAACATCTCTATATGCTACTGAAGTCCTGCCCATTAAAATGGAAAACAAGGTGTATATGCAGAAATGTAGTTCATAGTCAATAATTTTTTTGTTTTCAAACATTCCTAAGGCCTCAGGATTTAAAATTTTTTAAATCTAATAATATCTAATTTATTAGTTCCTGACAAGCATGACGTAGCTTATATTCATTCAGCAGCATATCGGATTTTTCGACATGTCCAGATACGACCAAATTCAGAGCGATAAGTGCAATAAAAGATTGGGCCGTCACCGCCGACAAGTTAATAAACCCCTCCCTAACCCGGATTTATCACGTATTCGAGCCGGAAAACACCTGAACCGCCTAAGCTTTTAAGCCAAAAACTTGCTAAAAAGAGATTACCGTACACGCAAGCCTAGCCCATGAAACTGACAGAACCGCAGCTTGAATTGACTTGCAGTAATTTTTTAACGGAGAAAGTTCATTGTTTTTAAAAAGTTCGTGCGTCCTTTAACCTAAATTAAATTTACACTGACAAAAGTGTTTATATGTAGATATTAAAATTATCTGTTTAAGTATATTGGTGGACACCAATCATTCGATACAATTATATTTCACTAAAAATATGAGCAACAAATGTAAACCTTTAGTGGTGAACTTTTAGTGTTGTTGAGATAAATGCTCTTATTTTCTGGTGATAGTGGTACATAATAGAAAATCAAAAAACTACCTATGATACTAATTTTACACTGATAGGTAAATGGAAAGAAGCTGTAAAGCTTCAAATATAATAGGTATCTATTTTATAGAGGAATTCGGTCCTTTGTAATGCCTAAATTAATTAAAAATATATTTATATTTCAGTGAATACTGATATATATGTAAATGCCAGTCTCATAATAATGAGGAGGAAAATGGAATTAGCAAATTTTAATCCTTTAAGCTTTTAAGCCTTTATAGCAATAAATCAATTTTATATTTTATATGCTGAAAAGTAACCATAAAATATTTTACAAATTCTATTGTTATAAGGCAGCAATATTTATTTCACCAATCAATAATTGATTTTTTATATTGTATTCTATTATATTTCATAAGAAATTATTAGTTGAAACCACGTGACAAATTAGCACTATGGATTATTGGTAAAACAAACTATTTTCAACTTCAAATTTAAAATAACTATTACATAATTACATAAAATTTAATTAATTCTAAAACTAACCATTTCCCAAAAAAATTAATAAGGACTCTTTGTTCGAAATCTAATTTTAAGAATCAAACATTGAAAATTTCTACGTCTATTGTTTTTTCGACTTTTGTTGAACTTATTTAAGAAGTTATAATATTTTCTGTTAAATAAACATTTCGAGAGATATTTTAAAGTTGATAAAATCTGACAAGCTGATTTTATACATATTTTATAGTGATAAATAACTTAAAAATATTTTTTTAACAAATAAATGTAATACAAATTTTCTAAACATTTTGCAGCGACGAAATTCTGTTATACTTTCAGTATATCCTTCACTGGTTCGAATTCCAACTGAATGAATTTTTATCTTAAATCGTTATCCTTACCTTCATTACTCTAAATCAAATATCTTCAATATGTTTTTTGAAATTTCAAAATTTCAAAAACTAGTGGCTTTTAGTCCTTGTGTTATTAAAGCCCATTGGAACATCTGTATTGTAATGTAATTAGCATTATTCAATTTCCCTTAAAAGACCCCATTTCCGTATTAAACACATAGCTCAGTATATGACGGTTTTTAGGTCCGAATTCTTGACACTGCTCCGATTGACGTGAAATTTTAATAGTAAGTAGAAAATTGCTCAAGAAACAAAAATTACATAGTGCCGATGTTTGCTTTCACCCTGGGGGTGAATGCCACCCCTTCTCGAGGGTGGCAAGGAAGGTACCCATTTTAATCTAAAAAATCAATAGAGGGATGAATTCTAAGAAATGTTTTATAACGTTTTTTCCAAAAATTAATATTTTCCGAGTTATTTGCGATTGAAAATGTTGATTTTTCATTTAAAAAGTGAATGTTTTTCAACCATTTTTGATAAATAACTCGAAAACCTTGCGTTTTATCGAAAAACCCATATAAAGCAAAATAAAGTCTTTGAAATAACAAATCGATTCATTTATTTGTTGATTACTATAGATGTAATAATAACCGAGTTATCACTCTCTAAATGTGATGTGTTTATTTTTCGGAAAGTAAAATCGAACTTTTTACCGTAACATAATGGCGAAAGAACTAATTTTTCGAACAAAATTAATATGACCTTTTTTAAAGTGTTTGAAAAAATTTCGTAGCTCAAAAACTCGCGGAGTTATGATGAAAATAAAGTGGTCATCTCATTTTTTCGGAGAAAAAATCAAAAATAAAATCTGTCTATTTGTTTAGGAAAGCTTTAAAGCAGTTTTTATTGGGAAAATGTTTTTATTCCATATTGGAATTTTTACCGACTTTGTCTTAGTTTGTAAGTTTTATTTGACTATTCCTATACATATTATGTCTCTGAGGAAAATAAATTATTATTATTATTATTATTATTATTATTATAAAAATAGAAACTAAGCTTAATCCATGTACAGGTGACTTTATTTAGGTACTAATAATGGGCTCTGCAAGTTTGACCGCTTTAGAATGCCTAAAATTTAAAAAAAGTTTGAAATAATGAAAGAGTTGCCAAAATTGTCCCCCAATCACGGACCAAACAGAGGAAGTCGACAGTGATGATAGTTCTTTAGATGATATGTAAATTTTTCTAATAAAGTATAACTGTATAATACACATATAAATTTTATTTTCCTTTTCACTAATTACATAACTTAAGTTTCGAATTTTAAGTAATCTCGTTGAATTTAGTAATGTATCGTTGAGTGTTTTGAAGGAGGTAAAAATTCTTCAATTCCTCATTAAGGGTTATTTTTAAGAGTTGAAACGTTGCAATAAATCATCAGTAATACTATAAACAGTGATGAGTCTTTCATTATAAATGCTATGAAGATGTGGGAAACATGTTTTGCTTTATTTTCTGCAATAAGGGTGGTTGAAACGTTGCAATAAATCATGTATTATTTCATAAACAGTAAAAAATATTCAATTCTTCATTATTGCTCCGTCAAAACATTTCAAAGCCACGAAAACTAATTTTTGTTTTTTTCCTCATAAAGGGTGGATTTTAAGGGTTGAAATGTTGCTACAAATAAAAAATTATAATTCAAAACATAAAAGAATGCTTATTCTATTGACATAACACTTAAATCTATGGTTTTTACGTTTTTTGCAAGAAGAGGTAGTTTTCACCCCCTAAAAACAATGAGCACACATTATGGATATGTAACTTTTGTAAAGGAGTGTGAAATGAGCTTACTCACCAATTTTCATGAAAATCGGTGCGTGTGTCAAGAATTCGGAGGTAATACCCTATTTTTACCGCTGTTTACTGGACTTAAATCAGGGTTTAAATTCGGTATCAGGAAATACTTTTATATATATAAAAAATCTAGTATGCTCCAAAAGGATATATGTATGTTGCTAGGTTGCTATTTAAGAAAAAAGTTTTTTCTTCTTTTATGTACCTACTGTTCATACTAAAACATTGAGACAATCACTCTGTATAAACTGCAGAAAATGCTCTCCAGAGCATTTTTCGGTACTGTGACAAAAATTTATCAACTGTTCAAATGAAAACCGATTAAAATATCAAAAAATGTTTCACGTTATCTTCGTAATTACCTGGAATGGCTGTCTCGGCGCTCTGCGGAGAGAACACCATGACAGTGTTACCAATTGTCGTGGTGAAATCCAGAAATCCATAGACAGTTTGAGTGACATAGTTTCCCTGTTTTGTGGCGGTTGGCTGGATTGCAATCGGTGCACCGTCGGGCTTGATGAAGACTGGTCCCTGTGAGGCGAAAGCGAGATTCGCTGAAACAAAAAAGATAGTCTTAGCTTTTCTCAGATCCACATTTACCTCTCTTTTTAAAGTAATTTTTAAATAATGTTCCATAAATTGGCGAATTGGCAGTTTTAATTAGCAAAAAGACATTAAATGCTAGATTTCCCGTCTATTAACTTTAAATCGAAAGATGGGTAAATAACAAATTTTAGTTTCGTTCTTTAGACTATAACTAGGTATGTCTTCTTTCTAGATTTTCTTTAGAAGCCATTAGTTTGTGAAAATGAAAACAGAATATTCAGTCAATTACCTTTAGAGATTAAAATACAATGTCGAATTTATGATTAATTGTTAACCAAAACTGTAACCCAATTAAATTTGCATAAAACTTAACGATTAATTTTTTCACTCGAACGTTTTTTTGTATAAACTTTAACTAAAAAAAGATTATACCATTTAACTTGATTCAACAATTTAATAAAGAAAGTGCTCTTCGAAAATAGTGCACATGTTGTAAGAGAAGCAATTAAAAGAACGACCGATAATTTGCGCTGGAAAACTGAGTTTTGAATTAGAATATAGAGTAGAAAGAATTAATTTAGGCGGATTACTGTATCATAATGTTAACAAAATTAGCGGTTAATTAAGTAAATAGAACATTTCGGTCAATGATTCTGCACTACAAATAGTCGTATTCAGAAATTTTTTTCGCTCATATAATAATACATTGTTAATCGAGCCCGTTGCTTATTCCAGCATTTTCTTGGTTTCCATGTTTCGCTAAACTTTGTCTGGTTTGTGCTCCACAACTCCTGGCAAAACACATAAATTGTTTAATTAAACAATTAATTTTTTTACGCGGCCTTTTCACCGTTTCATGTTCAACCCACTAAAATAATCCGGTATCATAGTCAAGCGTCGGAACGCTTTTTTCCTTGGAATCTCTTTTCGCGAAAGGTCTCCCCCAGAGGGTGTATTTACCATAAACTAGGGAATAAATTACTTCATTAGTGCTTAAAGCTAGGAATTAATTAAATTTACTTCAAAGGCGGCATTTGTTGTTCACGTTTAGTGAAGGGGAATATTCGCTTGTCGGGGTGTTTAGTGATTGTATTAAGAATACGGGGACGGAGCTTATTGTAGTGGTCGCAATTTTGATTATGAATAACATCCATTAAAATTTGTTTCAAAAATAGAATACTCTTCAATCGAAAACAATTGACGCGTTTCTTACAAAAACATCCCTTGTCGTAAATTAAAAAAATGTAGGAAATTTTGACAATTCTTGGACGTATTTGATTGCCTTAATAGTTATTATTATTGTTTTATTAGATATTTTCTAATGTCTAATGTCTAATGTCAGGTGATTAATACACTTAATTATTATTATCTTTATAGCACCAACAATTTTTCCACATATGATTATTACGTAATTATCTCAAAATGTGATATGTTTCAAAAACTGCGTTTTGAAAATACTCATATGTCAACGGACTTTTATATTCCTCTAAAATTTGTTGCGACTATGTCCCTAATTCCTCTTGATATGTCTGGCGTATATTCTAATAAAATTTACACCATAGTTTTCTTCCACGCAGTACACCATCAGTCATACATTTTTTTAAAATTCATTGCGAAACAGCTGCATTATCTCGACTAATAAAATATTGCAGTTTGTCTCTATCCCGCCGCTGTGCGGAACACATAAAAATTCCTAACGCCATTTTTAAGCCTGCTTTTAATAAAGGCGTCTCGCGTTCCGCTGGAAACTATAATTTCAGTAATCATTTGCTACAAAATGTGGAGCGCTATTTACGAATAAGTGGAAAAAGTTTATGAAATATGGTTGTATAAAGTTCGGTCGTTCCCATAGCTCAAGAGAACCATTTAAAGAAGTTTACCTTTTGTGGACTCCGCGCTGTAACAATAAAACTCGAATGAAGAGTATATCTATCGAGCGGACCAATTTACAACCTACAGCGGTGGGGTGAGTCCAGGACTGATGCTCCGCTTTTCTAATATCTTTCTCTTCGCATAAAAAAACTACCACAATATTTAATTTACAACGCAGTATAAAATTAACCAGTAAACGGATATCTTTTTAAAGAACAAAACCAGTTGCTTTTGGACTTCCCCTAAATAGTAATAACTTGTAATAGAAGAAAAGGGTATAAATAAATAAGTTGTAGTAACTGAGAGGCATTTCATGTAAAAAAATCTATCCACCCTTTCGTTAGACGGGGAGAGAAATTTTAATTTCTATTATTTGCATAAATATAGAGAAAATCGCAAAAATTGAATTGCTGGCACTTCTATTAAGGAAAAGGCACTAAATTTACAGGATGCTTAAACCTTACTTTTGAAATAGCTTTCCGCTAATATCTGAGAACTAACATGGGGAATCTAATCCAACGCTGACACTTTATATTGTTCTAACAAACGTGAGGAATTTAAGTTATTTATGATATTTTCACATTACATGCATTTTTACGCACGCGTCTCGAAAACAAAGCATTTCCGCTGCTAAAATTTAGTCAAGAATTTTAGTTACACCCCCTATTGCAAACGGTGACAAACTATCATTTTTTAAATCGATGGTGCTTTGGTTGCACCTAAATAAAACAAAAGTAGTAACATTAAGCATTGTCGGCTTATCAAAAATTCCTACATAAAAAAAATAAATACCGTACTAGTAATATTCAGTGACAGCTATTATTGATCAAGATCAAAAGATTTCTATAACAAATTACCTTTTCTTTGCTTAGTAATGTAAATCGTACTGGCACACGAGGTCATACTCCAGTTTAAATCGTTCGCAAAAAAATTGTTTTGCATTACTTATGAGTATTCTGATGCAGATATATCCCAAATGATTAATAAAGTTGGTGCGGCTTGCCCCTTTTTAATAATTCGTTACCTGGAATTATTAGTCATGACGGGGTGTGGGAGAAATAATAATGAAGAAAATTGGCAAAATACTACTTTTACAGCCCGTATGATATTTTTTGTTGTCCAAGAAAATTATAAGAACTGCTGTAAAAATTTACTGCGGCAGGAGAGAAATTCCGCCAGTGTCTTTATCCTTCGGGTGTCGAATGCGGTTAATTCCAAGGAAGTGACGCAGGGGTCTTCTTGAAATTCTATCTCAACAAATATCGTAGGGACTATATTTATTTTTGATATTAACTAATTTATTTGCTTATAATTACCATAAGCTGTATACAGTGGATTATATCTGGATTACAATGCACGGAACACTGCATAAGACACCATTACTCTGCGAACCAAAGCCTTGTCCAGCATTGAATTACACTCTCCACAAATAATAAACAGCTATCATTTGTCAAAACAGTAGTCTTATTTGCTAAAGGACGTTATTATAACACGTATTGTCTTGTAAATGAAAAAAAGCAATTTTTACGCCAGCTGCCATTCTATTTGTGTGAAACTAAATAGCACCACGTTTGGAGAATAACTGTAGAGCAATAGCATTTTAAAATTATACCCCCTAGAAGTATATATACGAACAAACGTATCATTGAAGTAGCCTTTTCGAAACACAGAATCAGATTTAATCCAGTTGTTATCATAACACTATGCTGTGAAAGGTAGCCAAGCCTTTACAAATGCAAAATGTATGAAACGTTGTAAAAAAGTAATAACTTAAAACATAATAGATAGTATCAACTACGCCGATAAAATCAGTTTGAACAAAATGTAATTACCGTTAACAAAAAAAGTAGCATGTGTATGTTTACATACCATCTAGAAAAGATAAAACGTTCTTATTTCGCCACAATCAAATACATACGAGAGGGGTCTAATTTACCTAAATTTCAAGAAAATAATATGCGGCAAGAAAACTTTTGTATGTCATTGTATATTACATAGATTTCTACAACAATAAAATGGTCTTATAGTTGCTTGAAAATCGTTGCAAAAATCAAATTGAATACTCTTTTCTTGAAGATATCGTTAACTGAGTTTTTTTTAGTAAAATACGTCTTAATTTGGAAGCAATTTAGAATTGAAATATAATACAGTAAAAATGATCGATTAAAAGATATAAAGATAGGTATTTTAAATTCTAATAGAGCTATAAATAATAACAATAGGTGACAACATATTTCAAAATATTTCCCCGTACATAGACATCCATAGAGTTTTCGGAGTAAATTTCAACAATTAATTTGTCGCATTTAAAATAAAAAGTAAGAAAAATTATTATTGTAGTGCTAACATTTATTTAAACATCATCTGTTTTCTTGTAACAACAATATTTATGTTGACATTTTCTTGGTTTGTTAAACTTGAGAACAGTGATGTCTAAGTTCTCTTTAGGTTTACTAAGTCGTAATTCTTTAAAGTCTATTCATTGTAGCAAATATGCTGTTTTACAATAATACGCTCTTAAATAGGCAATTTTTTCTGCAGTATTGTCATCTATATAAAATACATAACTATAAAATAGATTCCACAATCTTTCTTCAATTTATATTATAATTTTTAAAGAACAGAACGCAATAGACTGTTTAAAATAACGTTTTATTTAATAGCTCGCATATTTTTTACTTAACTACAACATTTGTTACAATGTGCACTCATACATAAGTTTCATTAACTTCTAAATGCATTTGGTTTATAGTGGTTTACTGCAGTATTCTCCATACCAGTGTTCTGAAATCCTGGATTTAGCTCCGACTTAAATCGGATTATATAAACTTAATGGAGAATATCTGGTTTCCGGAATAATTAAGATTTTTGCAGAGCGGCATGAAAGCCAAATTTATAAATAACTTTTTCATTTCCCCTGTTTTTATAACTTTATAATTCAAAGGAGTGGTTTCCTACATCGAGATGGAAGCTATAAAAATATCAAAACGTATAATATGAGTTTTTCTTTGTTTGTTTTATTTTTACGTTTAATGATTCAAAATGTGGAATTGTTAATTCGAAAGAAAGGAAATAACAATTTGTATTCTAAAATTGTCCTAATGCACAATCTTTTTGATTCAAAACTATTACGTTT